TTTCCTCATATTATTATTTCTTCAATGGCCTGTAAACATTATATGCTATTGTGGGGAAGCATATGTATATGTATGGCTTTGAGAACGGTGAACAAGAGAGACAGATGTACAGACATACGAATAGATGAGTGGCGCTATATTTGTATATTCATACACGAATAGGTGGATGGATGAATGTAGGAGGTGTGATGCTCTATAGTGGGATGTTGTTTCAGGTTTTCATGAGAGTGACAAACTGTTTTTGTCAATTCTCTGCGAGTTGTCCTTCGTTTTTTGCTTGGAAATGGATGTTCTGCTAAGTAGACGCATAAAGTAGAACTGCGAGTTTCGCGTCTTGTGTATTCGTCTGCCGGCTGGTTTGTGTCCACTTAACTCGGCCAACAACGAGTTTTCTACAGACTTCCTCTTGGGCCAGGGCTCTGCTCTTGCTCTGTGGACCAGATTCCACTTGCGTACTTCCTGTTCGCTACTTCTTCATCTTCGTATTCATCATCATCATCATCATCATCATTTTCTTCTACTACTACCACTTATTTTTCTCCTTTGAGTGTTATAATTTCTCTCGTAGGGCTTTCTGCCAAAACAAGTTGCCCCATTTCGGCTAGATTGCAGACATGATATGAACAGAAGCAAGAGGAGAGTGAGAATGACAAATGACAAGCCGCTCGAACAAGTGCGCACATCTTTGGACCCGCTGACCCTCTTCTTCTGAGGTCGACAACTTCCCTTTTTATCCACCATCCACGTTCAGCCCGAGCGCAGTTTGGACGAGACCAGACCTGACCACCGACCGATACTGCACCCGACCTGTAGAGGCATTCCAGTCGAGTGAGGCTGATCAGTCCGCGTGTGCGGCATACAAATTCGTAGTCATTCTCGTCTCCATACTGCCGTGACATTTAAGTAGTAATGCTCGGCCGATTGGAGGGCTTCATTATGCTGCCGCCGTTTTTATTGTCTCCCACGAGTTGTGGTGGGAATTAGGTGAACCGTAAGACAATCTCTTCGCACCTCTGGAAAGAGGCCAACAAGACGGAACCCTGTAGCCAAGATAAGCCGTGTTCGCCTTTTACTTCATCTCCTTTTCGATTGTCGAATTGCCATCAAGAGCGAATATGCAGACGACCTCGAATCAGCCTTTTAAGCCAGTCCGGCCCGAATAAGAATACTTTTTTGCAACTGAAATGGAAAGATTAATATCCTGTCTTTTTTCATCTTTAGATGTCATTGTTGATGAATTAAAAGTATCGAGACCTACTCACTATGTATATAAGTAGTGTAGATGACTGTAATGACAAAATACAAGTTTGCCCAATTTACAATTCCACCATAAAATGGCATAGTCTTTACAGTTGTGTCTGCTCT